ATTTCAACTTTCACTTTAGAGAAGGTCTAGAAAGAGCTGTCTGTTAGTATATACTGTAATATATGGCACATTATGTTGGTTGTGTAAGGTGTGTGTCAGAATTACTGGCGACTCTCAGGGGCTCTGTGCAGCAGTTGAGTCACTTCACTTTCACTTTAGTTTAGGGTCTAGAGCCAACTCTGCTCTACTCTGTTTTCGTAGTGCATACATGACTTCCCCAGTCTCGGTTCACATCGATGCTGTAATGTTTCCCCTCTCTCAGGGCGCGAATCCAATATCCAGAACGCAATCTGCAGACGGCCCAGCTTCAATCACCTCGTCCGTGGAGCGGAGGAACACCATCCAGACTAGTGGACTCTTGTCGCGAGGAGCCAACAGCCGATACATGGGTACACGTTTGTGGCGCTCGTCCGCTCTGTCACAGGTCCTCGACACCCACACCATGGCCAGCTGAATACAAGTCAGGAGAGTCCGCAGGATATTGGGAAGGTAATGTGGTTCCTTGCGTTCCCCTCAAAGCCTTCAGTTTCCCAGTCTTTTAATATAGTTGTAACCTCTTCCCTTTAAAGACAAGCCCGCCCGAAATGAGGACCCGCTCTCATGAGGACACCCCGCTGAAATGAGGACACCTCTCTCATAGGACACGACCCTGAAATGAGGACACCTCTCTACTACGGCACATCTTTACTTGCCCCAAGAGCTAACAGTCTCATGCGTGCAATATAAGACACCAACCCTCACTACTGAGGACACTTTCTTCTGTCCATTGGTGAGGACAAATCCATCAGGCGATGGTTCACGATATCACGGAGCATAGAGCCCAGTGCCAGTTAAATTCCGCCATATCCTCTCCTCGCCTCAGCCGGAGCCTCGCTGGAGGTCAAGAGTTCACGAGACTCATAAAGCCTTCCACACAGTGTTTGCTGCATAATATGTGTTGTGTTGAGACACATTGACAGAAGGGTTAATTTACGAACTGTTACTAAAGAGTGGAACTCCCTGTTCAGGGTCCTGTGGGTTTAGCAGTAAGGCGTTTCTAAATTTCGCATTTACGCAACCAGTTAGCCTAAGGTATCCACATCCACATTCCATGTCACGCTGCTGACCGTGTTGTGTCAGTTCTTTCTGAACAGAGAGAGACTACCAGAAACCGGTGGAGCTCTGCTCGGACCCAACGCTCCTGAAACTGCTGAAGAAATGTCATCTTGACCACGCCCAGGGCGGCAGGGACACACCCTCTGCCGATAAGGTGGCCGGTGCTTAGGCTGTAGCATAGCAACAAACACTCCAAATTGACACTGTCCCCAAGTGAGAAATTACACCCATTGTTTCCCTCCCTCCCTCTCCTCACTCCCTCCCTCACTGTATATATTATACAGTAGGTAAATGACACCACACCATGCAAAGGACACTTTCAGTGTCCCCAAGTGAGATTTGTTTGTGAATGACATCCATTGTTTCCCTCCCTCCCTCTCTCTCCCCTCCCTCCCTCCCTCCCTCTCCTCCCTCCCTCCCTCCCAGCCGTCCTCATCCTCCTCCCAGAACGGCTCGCTCTCCACGTGTCTAGTGTGTGAGACTGTGTCGCCGTCGGGGCTCCTGTTGCCGTGCGCTCACGTGGCAACCTGCGGAAATGTCAAGTGTCCTCCTGGCCATCTGTCGCCAGCGCCCGTCTCCCATAGCAACAGGTGAGCCCCTCCCATTCGCACCTATCAAAGACCATCTTACATACATAGCAATATAGTTGCATCACAAAGCAATTTCATTTTAACTTCTTCTGCCACTGATATGTGACAACACAAGTATGTATGACAGTAGCATTGATGTATGTACCTACTTCAATGGCATGTGCACGACAGTGAATGACGATCGTCTTTTCTACTGCTTTCTCTGCATTCGCTCGCCTAAAAATTCATCTCACGTGAATTTGAGAGTACTAAACAATCTCGTTCTCTCTCTCTCTCCTCTGCTTTCTTGCAGATCGAGGATGTGTGGTATGTTCTAAAGCGGCAGCCCTCAGTCGCTTCTCAGCCCTGTCTCCACATGGTGGCGTGTGAGCAGCTGGCTCGTCCCATGCCATGAACGAAATGTGTCAAGTGTCGCACTTGCATCGTAGCCCGCCGTACCTCTCTCTGTCGCGCAGTGGAGTGAAGACGTGAGTCACCACCTGACACCTATGGAGATATGATGAGAACAGATGAGGGTGTCACGTGTACCTAGTTGAGAGTATCATGTGACCTAGTTGAGATATCATGTGACCTAGTTTGAGATATCATGTGACCTAGTTGGGTGTCATGTGACCTTAGTGAGATATCATGTGGATCTAGTTGAGATTTATCATGGTGACTAGTTTGAAGATATCATGTGACCTAGTTTTGAGGTGCTCTTGTGACCTGGATTGGCTAAAAACACTTTTACTTATTTTTTCGCGCCTACTACTGAGGGTTCGCTATAAGTATAGAGCCTTATGTGTGGATCTGCCTTCTTCCTCCACAGCTCTCAAGGTGAGAGGAAGAGGGTCCAGAGGCTCAGGAGGCCCAGTTGGTAGTCAAGACATTGCTTCACTGCAGCAACAGCTACAGGAGATGAAAGAGAAGGTGTGTTTGCAATGTCGCTGCTTTTGAGTTCTCTGAATCGAAAAATTCACGTCAACATGTGCACATCACGTTCTTTTGGCGATTTCCCCACGACTTTGCGGGTTACTGTGCTCTGCTTTCCCCTCTCTCTCGTTCTCTCGTCTCTCTCCCCGCTCTCTCTCCTCTCTTCTCCTCTCTCTCTCCTCTCTCCCTTTCTCTCCTCTCTCCTTTTTTTTTTTTTTCCCTCCCCTTTCCCTCCCTTCTCTCTCTTCTCTCTCTCTCTCTCTCCCTCTTCTCTCTCCCTCTCTCTCTCTGCCCTCTCTCTCTGCCCATCCCTCTCTCTCTGCCCCTCCCCAACCCAGTGTCAGGTGTGTATGGACAGAAGAAAGAACTGTGTGTTCCTGTGTGGGCCATGGGACGTGTCAGTTGTGTGCCGACAAGATCATAGAGTGTCCAATATGTAGGAAACTAGTGTCTCCAGGAAGATCATCCTCTTTGACTGATGTTTGTTTGTCCAGATTATGTTATATTTGCTGTCTGTTGTGTGCAATAGAATCTGCTGATTATTTATCAATTCTGAGAGTACCGTAAGCCACTGCGTAAACAAAGTGCTATGGGGGGTGGGTGCCAAACTGGCAAAAAGCCATTTTGAACTCTCAACTCTCCTATTTACTTACATACAGGTCTTCTATTTGCCTACATAATAATTATATATAGCCTTCTACTTATTTAAAAGGAATCCTATTTGTCATATAGGAGTCCTAATTCATTATTATTACATAGCATTCCTGTTTATTCTATCGCAATCTAAATATTATATGAAGGAGTCCTTAATATATACAACTGAACGGACAATGACATGACACACTCTCTCTCCCAACAGACACAATGACACGCCTCTCTCCCAACAGACGCAATGACATGCCTCTCTCCCAACAGACGCCAATGACAACACAATGACACCTCTCTCCCAACAGACACAATTACACCAACTGACACAAACTCACAAACCCACTACCCATACTGAACAAGCTTAGAAACACTCATAGCAGACTGCGACAACTGACACAGAAAACTTGGACTCACGTAGACGGCGTTCTTGCCAGAATATCAGTTGGATAAAGTTCGATATGGTCCGAAACCTTCGAACCCGTCTCCACAAGAAGTGGTGAGTATGCGGCACTTCGGTTAACAGAATGACTTACGGTAACTCTGAAATGGAAAGCACTTGAAAGTGCATAACTCGCCGCGGTTGATTAATGGAGGTCAAATAAGTTGGCTGTCTCAGAGAAGATCAGAGACTGCTCTTCCTTAATAATTTTCAGCATGTAATCTTTCTTGAATACTTGCTAAACGCATCAATAGCACGGCAGACCAGCAAATCCTTTCCACACGCGGCAAAGCATCTTGGTTTCAGTATAGGCAGCAAATGTGTGTAGGGGTGTTTCGAATGGTTGTATTAAACTACTCTGCGATGTGAATTGCGCATTTCCAGTCGGATGCATGTTTTGCACATGCGCACTACGGAACTGAAACTAGGCTTGCGATAATTTATACAGGAATAATTTCGAGAATAATAGCAAAGCAAAAAGCAGCAAGCATAATCCGAGCATAATAGCAAAGAAAACACGCGCGCGCAACTGCGCCTACTTTTAATTATGCGGCCGCAGTTACACGTGGCACGATGTCGTCGTCCTCCGGGTCGCCCGAGCAGCAGTGCGAGCACGACGTCAAGCCGTGCGAGGATGGGTCAGGCTCTTCTGCACCTTCTACGTCCTGCAGCAGCGTGCGTTACCCGGCGCTATGGTGCTAAAATCAGCGCCAAGCCCAATTTTCAGAGAAAATGAAGCGCCGGGTCCTAGCTCTTGCCTATGCGTCTCTGCGCAATACGGGCACACGCGAACGTGGAGTTACCGGTTGTTAGCTGAACTTTGCAATTGGGTATAGCGCCAAGGCCGTCCCTGGCGCCATGTTTTTGGCCCCAGAGATGTTGCAGGTTGACACCCCTGTTAGTAAAGCAGGCGCCTCTTGCCAGCACCAACAGGAAAAGGAAAGTTGCGGCGCAACCATTGCAAGATTATATTATGTTCTCCATCTGTTGTATATAGGTCATTTTTGATCAGGTTTTTTGAGCATAATTTGGGAATAATAGCAGCAAACCGTAAGAATTGTAGCAACAAAATATGAGCATTAAAGAATAGAATAATACCAAAAAAAAGTGGCATAATTATCTCAAGCCTAACTGAACCTCGGCGCCCCGGCTTCACAGGCGTTACGCGACGCCATGTGCTCTTTTCGCGACCATTGGTGAGCATGCGCAGAGAGGATTATGCTAAATAGCAGAGGTGTGGTTTGCGCGTATATTTTGCGAAATATATAATTAGCAAGCTACATCATGAGAATGTAAATATACAAAAAACCTCCTACCTGTATAATAGCTATATACACTGTCCAATGATCCATGCGACCATGCTGTCAATACTGAGATATACTCAGAGAAACAATAACAGCAGTAATAGTGGTGACAGCAACTGTCATAATATTGCTGTTGGTTGGAGAACCAGAATATGCCATCAGTTGGAAAATCCTCATTGCAACCTTCGTACAGAGCTCTGGGACTGTAGGCATTAGATAAACCGGAAATTAAGTCGTAGTAGGCGTCTATGCAGAAGCCTTGTTCTTCAACCGCATCTCTTAGGTCAGAGCTGCAGACTCAACCAATCGATGCCCTAGTCCTAGACGAGGTCCGGCGCCGATCATGATCTATCCGGGCGGCAAGGCATCCTAGACGAGGTCCGGCCCCGATCATGATGCATCCGGGCGGCAAGCATCCTAGACGAGGTCCGGCTTTGATCATGCATGATCCATCCCGGCGGCATTCCTAGATCGAGGTCCGCTTCCTGTACGTGTATTAATAATTTAAACGCATGCGCGAAGTGCGCGCGCGCGCAATTTCGGATGACAGCAAAGCGCGTTTAGAGAATAAGCGCGTTCCTATCACGCACTCTGCTCAGGAGTCTCACGGGCACGATGTTCTCTTTCCCTCTCTCTTACGAAGGGCTCGCCAATTATGTGAGAGATTTAAAGGAGGAGTGATAAACTCAGTTGGGCGGTCTTTGTCCGCACTCCTGTGAGCATTAAGAAATGCAAAGCCAACGTTTTTTTCCATTATTAATAGTTCTTTCCTGAATCTGAGTATACATAACCCTGCCAAAAGACATCCAAACTGGTCATCAGGAGAGTTCCTCATTGTTCATCATGCATTGCATGTTTCGGCCTCTATACTCTCGACACACAGTACATTCCCAAATGAGGCGAGGCCACTCCACACTTTGGAGTCCAGTATGTCTTTTGGTGATATGAGTGATGTGGTAGTATTAGCTTAGTAATAGTGACCTAGTTGAGATATCATGTGACCTAGTCGAGGTGTCATGTGACCTGGATTGGCTATCATCTTTAAAACACTTTACTACCTTTTTCTCGCCACTCTGGGTTCTACTATAAGTATAGAGCCTTATGTGTATCTGCCTTCTTCCTCCCACAGCTCTCAAGGTGAGAGGGAGAGGGTCCAGAGGCTCAGGAGGCCCAGTTGGTAGTCAAGACATTGCTTCGCTGCAGCAACAGCTACAGGAGATGAAGGAGAAGGTGTGTGTTAGCCGGGTTCATACGTCGCAGTGCCCCGTCGCTACGTGCGATGCGAAGATAGCAATGGATTCCACGGTACAACGGGGCACTGCAACATTGTGTTAACCTTAGAGTGTGTTCTATAGCCAAGTGTGTGTGTGTGTGTGTATGTGTGTGTGGTAAGTTTCCACTGCACGGGCAAGTTTGTATAATTGAGGTTACTTTGGCTCTGCTTCCCCCCTCTCTCTGCTTCCCCTTCCCTCTCTCTCCCGCCCCACCCCTCTCTCTCTGCCCTCCCCAGACCCAGTGTCAGGTGTGTATGGACAGAAGAAAGAACTGTGTGTTCCTGTGTGGCCATGGGACGTGTCAGTTATGTGCCGACAAGATCGTAGAGTGTCCAATATGTAGGAAAACGCAAGCACACGCATCACTGCACTCGTCTTAGATCATAAATTCTTGAATGACACTAATATAACAGAGTGGGTTGAATTCATTAAATACTGGTTTGAAACCTTTAAACAATATTAATTTGTTCTTTGTAAGTTTCTTGCACATAGTTGGCCAATGTGTTTAGTTCTGAATCTCTCAAGGTTTTAATGAGGTTTTCCCAAGTCACTGGTGTCGGGTTCTTTTGTAGCCAGATTCGAAGGATTTCAGCGACAATGTTATCAGGCTGACAGTGACTGGATTCCCTAATGCTAGGTATCTGAGATCCCGTATCATCCTTGAGCAACAATGTCCCGAACTTTTGGTAATTAACTCCAACCTGTTCCGGAATTTTAAGTCGCATTAATTGGGGAAGAGTTGGTAAAGAGTTAGCACCAATGCCCATCCACAGCAACTGTTTTTCATCTGGTTTGGTGGTTCTTGAACATCGCAAGAAATATTCCCCCCGAAGTTTTTTAAACTCTGCAAAATGTTTTCGCGTACTTTGGCAAGTACAAATCACGGCCGGTGAAATTTTAATGTCGAGCTGCATGATGTTAAAGACCTTTTCAACTGCACCAAAGACCGTTGTGTAAAGCTGACTGCATGTATCAGGGGGTAGAATGCTTATGTCAGAGTCAATGTGGATCTCGATGTACTGAGTGTGGTCAACAAGAACTACATCTAGAAGCAGGTTTGGGTCATGGAGAGAGGCAATATTGTGGGCAAGGCATTTGGAAGGATCATATTCTACTTCTCTATAAACCTTCCAGCCGTACTTGGAGAGAAGGCAGGAGATGGTGCTGCCAAAGCAGCCGAGGGGAACACAGCCACTGCTGAACTTTATGACTAGCGGGACCGTGTCGGAACGCTTAGGGCGGTAGTCAACCAGCTTCTGTTCAGGAATGGGAGCCTTTAAACACATCATTAAGTATTCTTTGCTCTTAGTAGCAATTGGGGCTTCCTTTTTCTCTGGTTCCAGCGGTGCTATAATGAAAGTGTGGCAAAAAAGCTTGATTAACTTCATAAACGCCTTCTTGGAAGTGAGGCGATATTTTATCAAAACTTAGCATTTCTTCTGTGATTATGCCCTGTCGGAGTTGACTGACGAATTTTGCAGGGAAGCCCTTGAACTCGCCGGCGTTCACTTTGTAACTGAAACCAACAATTCCATTGACAATGTCAAGAGGGACCTGTGGTTTGATGAAGACATGATTCGGGAGGATGTGTCGGAAGTAGAGGAAAGTGTTCTGGCAATGAAAGAGAACCAAAGCAGCCTCCACCATTTCGCTGCTCATTTTAAGACGCGCCCCTACCAGTTTGCATTCGTCAAAGCTCAGAATATAACATTTTGCGTCCTTTTCGGCAAACTTGAGGAGGTCTTGCTCAAAGACAAAAAACGAGGTTGGTGTGTCTAAAGCGCTTCCCAGACCTGGTTCGCCAACCTTTGTACGGATCAATTCTAAGGCTTCTTTATCATCACGGTCTGGTTTCTTCAAGTCGAGAACGAACGGAATTTTGTCAGGGGGTTGGAAGAGAATGAGCTGGCCTTCGAACGTAGGAAGTAGGAGACTTTCCAGTTGGTGATTCAGCGCTTCTATCCGAGTGGCAACATCGCCTTTGACACAATCGCGATGTGTGGCTACAATGATAAGACGGAAAGCCTTGTTTTGGGATTTCTTAGCGTGCAACGTGGATGCAAGCTTCAGGATTACGTCCTTGCTAGTGTGCTGAGACTGAAACTGGCGTTTGTAGCACACTCCTTGCTCATGGCAATCTACTGGAGGGCGTTTATCTAGACCGTACCGCAAATCAACTAGGACTAATGCAAGGTTGGCGTTGTGTATGAGAGACGGCATGACTTCCATGAGCTCGGGCTGACCTCCTGTGTCTATCATGTGGACCAGCTCCAGTATCAGATCCTTCGGAAGACTTTTTGGTGTAGGACCAGTGGCTGTCGTGACCAGTGGGACTATTTTCTGACATGATGGACTTTCTTCATGCAGTTGAGGGGATGTACGAACCAAAGGAGTGGTCTCTTCTTGCAATGAGGGGTCTAGTGGCTTGGCACTTTGTACATCCAGATCACGCATTAGAGCAGAGGCAAGCTTATCGACATCGGATTTTCTCATTCCAGCTTGGATTAAAGGGGCAAGAAACTCACGAATGTCCTTGTACGAAAGACGTTGCCAAACACCAGCTGATAGGCGCAAGATGTGGTGAAGGAAGCCTCGAATTGACTGCTCGGCAACACCGGTGCTGGTATAGAGGTCGGGAGGCGCCAGGCCAAAGAGATGGTAGAGGAGAGTGGTCTTCCCTGCTCCCATTAGACCTGTGATGACTCCCACCACATTCCTCTGCTGCAGACTACCTAACTCCATTGCCTCATCAATTAGTTGTTGAGCTCTCTCGTCAGTCATGTCCTGGAATAGGAGGAGAGAGAGTAAAGCATATCACTCTTTGTGCATGCAACTATTGCATCTTTTTTCAACAAGAATGCGAAATGAACCCCGAAAAGACTGGCTTGAAGCTGAATCATCTCACCATGATCTTGGGAAGTGACTGGGTTCATTTCGCATTCTTGTAACACCAGCTATGGCCTCTTCCAACAGACGCAGCACTAAGTTCACCAATTTATAAAAAACAGACACGCAGAGTTGGAGGTGGTAGCGCCACAGCATAGACTAAAAGTGCTCCCAGCGCCAACATGGGCTTCGTGAAAAAGCTCCCTCGATGTATAGAGGGAAACTACTACATTGCCTATGCCACAGTTCCCCACCACGTCTCGTGAGGTGGCGAGGCGGGGAGTCTGTGGATGCCAAAAACTGGCCAGGCGCTGTGGGACGAGAAAGACGAACCGTTCCAGATCATTGCCAGTAAGGTGATGAGAGAAGTGAGTCTACAGTTTGAGCAGCAGTGTAACTCGGACGATCGTTTTAACGTCGGCCCTCTCTACCTCCAAAAGAAACTGAGTTATATAGAGGAGGGTTCAAAGCCTAGTTTTGAAACGACGTGCGAAATGTTGCAGAGGGTTGGGGGAGTGGAGGGTGGAAGTAGAGTGGGAGGTTTGATTGAAACACAAACACAAATTGACTATTGAGTAAAGTACACATGTTTGTGACTGGTAGCAGCTGTATGTCTCTAGCTGACATGAGTTACGCAATACTCCAGCTAGTGGCGTTTCGCAATACCAGTTACAAGTGCATAGCTTCTACCCTTCAGAACAACTGCAGTAGAAGGGCACACAGCACCACTAGCTGGATAGCTCCAGCCATTGTCTCCCAGTCTACCAGACAACCAATCCAGGGCTGTTTGTAGAACTACTGATACTGGCAGTGTACTAGTATATGCCTTATGGGACACCTGTGATTACATAGGACCCCAGTAGATAATGGATAGATTACACAGACACTATGGGAATATGGTCCGCTATAGACAAACACCCTGCCCTAAAAACTACTGACATTGCCCTTACAGCATTTTACACAAAGAAGGCAGAGCTAATCTAGTAGTAAGCATGTGTGTTCCACATGCAAAGCAGTGGTGCATGTTTGCTCTATTAAAGTTGTGTGTGTGTATTTTGGGATCAGAGATGAGTAACGTCTGGACCAATATCTGCTTGCAAGTCTGTATCAGAGCGATGGTAGATGATCTGATGACACGGGTCAAATCTGACGTGATCCGCAAATAAAAACCATCAAAGCTTAGCGAGAATGACTGGCTAAGCCTTGAAACATACAGTTAGCTAGTACAAGTTTTGTGAGTTGACGCATTCAAGTACTTATCGATTACACAATTGCACCAAAAATATAGCCGCTATTTTTAGAAAGCAATATTGCATTGTTCGATTATTTAACAGATTTTAGAGGAGTAGATTAGTTTGTCTATTTCATGTAAAGTTCCATGAACTCCACTGGAGTCTAAAGTTCTCTACTCACAAGTGCATAGCTAATAAGATTGTTTTATGCCTAAAGCCTAATAAGGTAGTTAACATAACTATACGAACTGACCCTTTCTTTGACTGGACTACTATTGTGTACCATTCGTTCTACTAATGTATTACTGGCGAATTAGTTATCAAAGTACACTATTGAGTAAAGTACACATATTTGTGACTTGTAGCAGACACTGTATGTCTCTAGCTGACATGAGTTATGCAATAGGACATTCCTTCAAAGGAGGAAGTGATACAGTTAAATGAGGGATAATTAATCACACAGTTAACACAGTACAAACAGTGCATAATCTACTAAGTATGATGTTACAAAATGTATGTACCTGATTTATTCTAGAACAACGACTTGTACACAGGTTATCTTCAATCTCTCGTGCCAGAGCGCCCAGCTCTATGTTCCCTCAGTGCTGTGACCAAGCTCGCCCACGATGCATGCGCTCCTCTCAAGCCATCTCACGAGAACAGCTTCTGCGATTCGATAGGATCGATCTCGTGCTCTAGTCGATGCTACTGGCAACCGTACCCGCAATCGTCTTTGAGAAGGTGAAGTGCAGAGGTCTCGGACACTTGGTGCCCCAATCCCCGATCAACGATGTTGGTAGTACGTCCCGATTGAGTTGGGAATCTCTTAAGAAGTGGTAGTGTGGGTCTATCAGATACAGAGGCAGCGTCCTCAGTGAATATTGGTTGTGGTTGTGGCAATTCAGTCGATGTCACCACCTGCTGTAGTATGATATAATAGAGAGTTGGAGGTATGCAGCACACACACAAAGTACACTATTGAGTAAAGTACACATATTTGTGACTGGTAGCAGACGCTGTACGTCTCTAGCTGATATGAGTTATGCAATAGGACATTCCTTCAAACGAGGAAGTGATACAGTTAAATGAGGGATAATTAATCACACAGTTAACACAGTACAAACAGTGTGCATAATCTACTAAGTATGATGCTACAAAATGTATGTACCTGATTTCTTCTAGAACAACGACTTGTACACAGGTTATCTTCAATCTCTTTCGCCAGAGCGCCCAGCTCTATCTCCCTCAGTGCTCTAACCAGGTCAGCCCAGGTATCGCGGCTCCTTCTCCAGCCACCGCACTGAGAACAGCTTCTGCGACTCGATTCGGATCGCATCTGTGCTTCATTCGAGGGTACTGGACGACCGTTCCGCACTCGTCATTGAGAAGATGAATGCAGAGGTATTGACCCTTGGTGCCAATCCTCTCGATAACGTTTATGCAATGTCCCGATCGAGTTGGGAACCTTTGAAGAAGTCGTAGGGTGGGCCTTTCAAACGCGGATGGGCTGGGCTCTATTTTCGACGGAAAAAGTGTATCTGCTAATTGTGTTTCCAATGTTCTATTTTGCTGTTGTGCGGTGAAAGCTCCGAACTGCTGTGGTGAACATGGAAAAAGTGGTTCACATGTCAATTCGAACGAGTCTAAATCTTCAGCCCCGTCTACACTGATGTTTATTTTCTCTTTCCGCGGTCGCCCCTCTCCAGTCCATATGATGTTCAGTTTAATGTGCGGAATAACTCCTCCCGGTTCGTAGTTTACAATTTTACTCATGTCGATTTTGGCTGGCTCGAATTCCGGCTCCACAATCCACCCATTTGTTGGCGTTTCAGGAACTGTAAGAGCTATTCCGGCAGAAGAAGAGGAACACGTTGCGACATACCGAACAAGTCTTGCATCCTTGTATTTCGTTTCCACGGCATCAACATGTGGCGGAAGGTTTTTTGTCACGATGAAATCGGCCGAACTATCAGCACAGTAGCAGACATGAACTGCACACTCTATGGAAGAGTATCCAAAAATGAGTCCTTTTAGGCGATTTTTCAACGCACTTGAAAAACTTTCCCGTGCCTTCGAGCTGGGCGCCCGTCCTACAAAGGTCGGAGAATCAAGGTATGTAGCTATATATATAATTATATAGCTATATAAGTCCGCAAGAAGTCGCAAGTAAAGTAAATGAAGTACTTACCTGCCATTGTTCTGCTGCAATTGTAATAATCACACGGCAATAAGGAGCCTTTGCAAGGTGGCACACTGCACTGCAAAAATATAGCTGAGAATTGATCCGTCGCCACATTTATGCGCTGCTGGCGCGCTCGGCGCCGATGCGCATTATGTACCTTATGCGCATGCGTAGAATAGCAATCTCGTAGTAGTAGCTAGCTAGAGAGCCAGCGGGGGCGGGGTTACGTACATCCGCGTCCAATTCTGCGGCAGATATGAAACTCTGGTTTTTCACGTCATAGATGCATAACTGTAAAAAGAAAACCTGTCTGAAGTGTAAATGTAGGTAAACAAAAATATAACGATAAGGTAAATGGGGGTAACTCCGGACGCGGAGGTACATGGGGCGTTGCACCAGCCTCGAAATTATGCGCTGCGAAAAAAACGCGAGGAACATTTGTTAGCGCTTTGGTAGGTAGTAATCAATTGAAACATATCCGAATCTTTCTCTTGTTTCTGAATAGCGAGTTGTGTCCGGGTATTACCCAGTGTCCGAAGTTACCGACCCCCCATTTACCTTAACCCTCGGCGCGCATGCGCACAGTATTTGGTTTGTCCGTCTAGTTACATTTTCGCCATCTTCTCCTCCAGATCTGTCTTTTCGTATAGTTTTGACTATTGGGTCACCCGGCCTCTACTGTCATAAAAAATTATTTATTATTAATATACGTTTTCTGCCACCACGCGCAACAAACAGGTAAAATAGCGCGACACCAGCGGGTTCAGCGCTACACTGGCTTCATTAAAGGCGATTTTCGTAAAGCTACTGCGTTCTAAAGTTATGGCGTGAAAACCAAGTGAACAAGCCACGAACACTAAAAGCCCAGCCCATCAATTAGTGGTACTGCGCGTGCGCAATTCGCCGAGGGTTTGCCCTTTATTAGCTCATTGACGTGCTGATTTTCTGCCATCTAATCAAATACAGAGACAGTATTAAAAAAATCTTGCATGCACAAATCTTGGGATCCATCATTCACTCCAGTCCCAGTAGCTCCACGTCAAACATGAGAGTTGCATTAGGAGGAATAACGCCAGGATGGCCATCTTCTCATACGCATAGTCTGGAGAACATGTCAGCTTAGCTCTCTGACCGACACTTAGCTGAGGTGGGATAAAAGGGGAAGGGAGGAGTATGTATATAGAGGAAATGAGAGGATGGACCGTTCACAATACTCTAGCTGGCTTTAGTTGGTTGGTGCCGGAGTAAAGCAAACCTACCCAGTTGTCTGAATGCGGAATTGATTATTCATTTTGCGGGCACAGCAGCACATACCATAAAATTCTACCTGATGCTGAAAAAGGAATACATGCAAGAAAAAATGAACTGCTCATGCTCCCTTGCCAAAAATGTGTTGCATTATATAGTTCTAGTTTAAACCTAGAGGGGGGACCCAGAGCATGAAATTATAGTTCATAGCATACCTGTGCCACTCCCTCATCCCATCCTACATGAGGAGAGAGAGAGAGAGAGAGGAGAGAGAGAGAGAGAGAGAGAGAGAGGAGGAGAGGAGAGAGAGAGAGAGAGGAGAGAGAGAGAGAGATGGACGAGAGGACGAGAGGAGAGAGAGAGAGAGAGAGAGTGTGTGTGTGCAGAAAACAGAAAACAAAACCAAACATCATTCAAATGTAAATACTGCATGACTTAGTGTCTCACTACTTACACATCCATCATAGGCACACACAGTCTGGCAAAAGTAAGATCATAAAGAACTATCACTGGAGTAAAACATTGGTGGTGGTGAAATACCTTTGAACACACACATTATCAGAAACCTTTCCCCAAGGAACACCACACTCTGTAATACATAAGCCACACTACAGTATGGTACAGTATACAGTACAGTGGTAGACTACTGGTGGAGGGACCCCTGCAGAGAATATCATGAGGAGGAGACGGAGCCTAACTTAGAAGCAATTCGCCCAGTGTCGGACACACACACACACACACACACACACACCCACAGAAACATACCAGTGTAATGGACGATAACAGTCTGTCCTCTCTTAGGAAACGTCTTACCTATATAGAGCAGAGTGGACAGCATACCATCATTAATAATAATACTCAGGTGGCTGCCATAGCACTAGGGCCATAGACCACGCACCACGGTTCCGCCCATTGCTCTGGGTGCGTGGTCTATGGCCCTAGTGCTATGGCAGCCACCTGAGTATTATTATTAATGATGGTATGCTGTCCACTCTGCTCTATATAGGTAAGACGTTTCCTAAGAGAGGACAGACTGTTATCGTCCATTACACTGGTATGTTTCTGTGGGTGTGTGTGTGTGTGTGTGTGTGTGTCTGTCCGACACTGGGCGAATTGCTTCTAAATTAGGCTCAATTTCATTTGTCATGTTCGTTTGAAATAAAGTAGTGGGCAATGCAGCCTAACTAAACTAGTGTAGTGTGGGTGCATCTAGTGTGTATATCCTTGGATCCGTTATCTCTCTTGGTCCATTGTGGACTATCTACGGGTTGTGGTTAATGAGTCATTCAGTGATTCATTTCTCATATAGAGTATACATTCACTACGTGGTTAATGGTGGGCATCTACAGCAGGATGTGGTAAGTGATTATGACGGACATGAGTACTAGGTAAATAGTACTGGTCGGGAACCCCAAAGGAAGAAATCATCACCAGGTACACTGCCCCCTCCAAACCTCGCCAATCACGAATTCTCGTATGAACCTTATAGCTCATACATAATTAACCCTCGGCGCGCATGCGCAGCGAGGGTTACATACTACTATACGGTAGTCGTTCTGTGTGTCTGTCTGTCTGTCTGTTACCCCGTTTTCTGCCACCACGCGCAACAAACAGGCCAAAAAGCGACACCAACGGGTTCAGCGCTACACTGGCTTCATTTTAAAACTGGCGATTTTCGTAAAAGTACCGCGTTCAAAAGTTATGGCAAGTGAACAAGCCAATATGCAAATTAGCACGGGCTTACTCGACAAGATGTGCTTGATCTGGGTACCTTGGAGGCACAAGACGTCACAACGAAGGGCGTGTATCGACTCCCGCATGCTATCTACTACTGTAGCTAGCCCGTGTCAGACTCTCCGTGTGCTACTAGCGGGAGACCACGAGTAAACGCATACTACGGCCCAGCCCATCAATTAGCGGTATCGCGCAAGCGCAGTTCGCCGAGGGTTTGCACTTCAGTGCTTTTTCATAATTATGGTAACCACTATGCACATACCTATACTCGGCTTTTCAATATCGCATAATATAATATTATTTTGAGAAACTTGAATCCATTGCATGCGCAGCGAGGGTACAGTAGTTGGGGGTCTGTCTGTCTGTCTGTTTGTCTGTCTATCTGTTAGTCTACATCTCACTCCTCGAACGTCTGTTCGTCCCAGAAACGATACCATCTACCCAACGGGCGACGAAGGTCAGAAAATAAAGGCGGTTTTCTCTGAAAATGCTCCGTTGCAAAGCTAGAGCGCGAAAAAGCTTATATGCAAATACGCAACGGACGGGATGGCTTACAGCGGTCGTGCTCTGCGTATATACTTCGGAGGCACCAGAAGATGCAACGCAGGGCGTGTAGCATGCTATCTAGTAGTGTAGTTAGCCCGCGTCAGACTCTGCGCGAGCTGGCAAGAGACCACGAGTAACAGCTAAAATAAACCCAGCCCATCAATTAGTGGTACGGCGCATGCGTTTACTTACGCGTGCGCTTCACAGTGCGCCGAGGGTTTGCACTTCAGTGCTTT